GAGAGAGAGAGAGAGAGAGAGAGAGAGAGAGAGAGAGAGAGAGAGAGAGAGAGAGGCGAAAAAATCTGTTTGGCCAACTAAAAATGTATGTATGTATGTATCCCGTAACAACTGTGTGGCCTTATCAGAAATTCAACACTTAAAACCTGCTGTACAGATGATTGTAAAAACACTTTAAATGGTTGAAACTTGGAAGGACAGACATATATGATCAACTTGAATAGGCCAGACCAAAAGGTTTCTAAACCACTCGGAAAAAGCACCACCCTCATTTCCTCCTTTTGAAAAGGCCAAATAGTAATCTTACCCACAAACCTAAGCTCTCAAATTTGACATTTTAAACAACACCTCAAATATTTCACTAGTTTCTTGTTATATCCTTCCACACCAAGAACACCACTTAATTCGCAAAAGCCTCAGTCTTTTTCTCTTTTGTATGTGAGGGTTGAGGCCTCCTAGTGGGTTGTTTGGGAACTATATATACATACATATCTACAGTATATATGTGTTTTTCTACAAACAGAGAAAAAATAGGATGTTCTATTATAATTAAACTATCTAGTAGATATATAAATCAAGCATAAGGATTGGGGAAATCCATCCATTCAACCATCGCCTAAACTGCTTATTTGGGTCACTGGAGGAGTATTATTTTCATAATACTTTAGAGCACAGGGTTTTAAAGTATTTAACTTCAGACTGATTTTCACAATGAAAACAAAATCACTCACTCTATATTTTAACATTTGCATAATTCCCAGAAGAAACAGTTTGGACTGTGCTTGGAGTGGTCTGGTACTTCTGACCTGCTTTAGAGAGCTCACTAATTTCAAGTTTTATTTAATTGATTTATTTACCTATTTTGTAAATTAATTGAGTAAAATAATTCAGTCACAGAAAGTAAAATCCCATTACTCGAATATAGAAAATATCATTAGGGAGTCCAAAATGCAGTTTTAAACTACTATTTTAGACTATTTCAGATCAACATAATAGTACATCTGACTTAACTATTTACTTACCTGATACTACTGACTGTGGATTTTTCTGACTACTTTGAAATACATAATCCAACTGTATTTGGTTTCACAGTGTTGTTTGAGTATTTTTACTAATTTGAGTATTTCAAACTAGTGTGTTTCTACTCAAACTGAGAGAGTGATAATTTCCTCCATTGGTGATTGGTATTTTGTGTATGGCAGGAATTCAAACTACAACTCCCAGTTATCCAAAGTTGACAATACCCAGCAACCAGCACGGCTTTAACGTGCTGAGGCAAGATGGCGACTAAAACAAGCAAAGACGGTCCTCCTCCCTTTGATTGTCCATCATGGTAAGGAATTGCACTTGTTAAAACAGTAGCACATTATTTGTTGGTTATAATAATATGCAAATAAGAAAGAATTCATGCTCCCGTTGATACATTTTAATTATAAGGAGGACAAAAACTTTTGAATGAATGTAGCTAACGTTAGCATCGTATCAAGCTAGCAGGCTAACCCGTTTATGATGCTGGCATTAAATTACACGCTACTTGTTTTTTTGTCCTTGTAAGTGAGCCATGGTCTGCTTTATTGTGAAGACTGTAGGCAGTAAATAATGCATTTTCACAAATATAAATAGGGTATATTTCTCTCACAGTATCAGTCTTGGAGTGAATGGCGCGAGCAAAGGTTTCCAAATGCTCCATTGCATTAATAAACTTTCAAATGTGATTGCTACAAATTCAGCTGGGATATTAATGTATCTTCTGCGATGTTCAGCCGTGCACACATTCTCTGTATCTTACCTCTATGAATGTTAAAGGCAGTGTTCAACCGTTTGCTTTCAGGGCTGGAAAACCGCCCACGGGGCTTCATCTTGACGTGATGAAGGGGGACAAACTGATAGAGGTAACTTTCGGTTTACAGGTGTTGTTTCTGGATGAAACGGCTTTTCCATTTAACATTGTTATGCACTCGTGGTTACGTGTGTGATGGCTGATTATGTGCATAATGAGTGCACCAGATACGAGCCTGACAGTCTTACCTGTCCCAGATGTGTTACACTGGGATCTTTCCGTGACTGCATGGCTTCAGATGGTGCAAGAGAAATTTCAGCCCTGAGATTTAAGCTTCTCAGTGGAAAGCAACTCTGTTGAGTTATGACTCAGAGGCACAAAGATATTAGATTAGCCTTTTCGCTGCTGGTTTTGGTGAGTGTTTCACAGAATCCCTCTCTCTTTTGTAGAAGCTGATTATAGATGAAAAGAAGTACTACCTGTTTGGAAGGAACCCAGACTGGTGTGACTTCACCATTGACCATCAGTCATGCTCACGTGTTCACGCCGCCTTAATCTACCACAAACACCTAAAAAGGGTCTTTCTTATAGACCTCAATAGCAGTAAGGCATCAACATTTCCATGGTTTCAGTGTTTAGTTGTTTAGCACAATAGTTGCATCATAAACTTGTAATGGCAATTTTTTTATAAACAGGTAATACCCATCTGTGCTAAAATAGTTTATAATTCAATATAAACAATGTATAAGTTATAATCTGTTGAATTTATAAGATATGATTCTACATATTTTAATGTCTCGCCTTATAAACTGTAGTTTAATTCTTTTTTTTTTTCATGACTTTATCATATTTTATTTGTGGATCGAACCACTATAATGAAAATAAGTAGGGAATTTCATTTGAACCTTTTGTAATTGATTCATTCATATTTAAGCGTCATATGTATACAGAAAATCAGACATGAATACATTTAACTGACCCTGTTCTTGACTGGACAGTGAGTTTGGGGCAGCAAGTTAACATTTTAATAACATGACGCACAGCTCTGGAAGACAAACCGAACTGCAGATTGTCATTATGCACGCTTGTTTTATGCTGAGTCTGAAGAATGCGACAGAATCTTATTGCACCATTATTCAGTTGTTTTTCGGGCTGTCCTAACAGTATAAACTGTGTCTGACACCATTTCAGCACATGGTACTTTCCTTGGACACATTCGGCTTGAGGCCCACAAACCCCAACAGGTTCCCATAGACTCCACGTTATCTTTTGGGGCATCTACAAGAACTTACATTATCAGAGAGAAGCCCCAAACCCAAGGCAGCACTGGCACCGGCGACAGCAAGACGGGAGACGATGAAGAGCTGAAGGGACTACTTGGACTTCCAGAGGAGGAGACAGAGCTGGATGTAGGCTTACTTATGTTAACATGTTTTTTCTCTGTGGTTTAACTAAATAAGGATAATATCATAAAATAAAAAAATATGAATGAATAATCAAAATACGAATGGATTAAATGGTTTAATGTTTTTTTGTATTATTTCACTGTTTTATTAGGTGCATGTCTTTACTTTTCCCACAAATTGATAATACTAGCTGTTAACATCTACCCCAGTGTGATATTGTTGAACCGTTGCATCCTGGTAATAATGCCATTAATTATGTGTTTTTCTTGTGATTTTTGTTGTTGTTTTTTTGCGTTCAATCAGAACTTGACAGAGTTTAACACAGCTCACAACAAGCGCATCTCCCTACTGACCATCGAGGAGGGCAACCTGGAAATCCAGAGGCCTAAGAGGAAACGCAGAAACTCAAGAGTAACCTTCAGTGAAGAGGACTCCATCATTAACCCAGGTACTGGTCACAGTGAAGGTGGAGCGAAGGAACAGGAAAGCCTCAAACTATGAAGCAACTGTGGGAACACACCAGTGCTTTTACTGATAAACAACAAGCCAGGCTTATTTGGGAGAAGTTTGATACGATTTGAATAAATTTTCAATTTATTCAATTTTCAAATTCAATTTGAAGTAAATTGATTTTCATTTGGGCTATTTTTTGTTTTACTTAAGGAAAACTTTCATCCTGTTTTCATTTGTTTGTTTTCTTAAACAGGACTGTTTTAGTTTGTGCTTTCTACTGTGAAATCTAAAGTGTAATTTCAGATTGTAATCATTTGTCTTTTTAACGTCCTACAGAGGATATTGACCCCTCCGTTGGGCGCTTTAGAAATATGGTGCAGACTGCTGTCGTTCCCATCAAGGTAAGTTTTTCACTCCTATTCTGTTCATAGAATTCAGTCACAAAGCTAAGCTGTTTTCAGCTGTTACATAAGCAGTTACGGCAACAGCCCAAGTGCTCCTGTGTGGCTCACAGGGTGAATAAAGCACCAGAAAGCTAATCCAGGGATGGGAACTAAAAGCCTGATCCACTTATAAGAAATGGACTGATGAAAGTATTAATAAAATGTTCTCGGCTTCCATCTTTGCTAATGTTTCTTGCAGTGCAGTTGCTCTCTGATGTGAACGAGTCATTTACCATAAAATCATGGTTTACGGTGTGTTAGTTGTGAAGTTAATCCTCCATCATTCCTGTAGAAACGGAGATCAGAAAGCCAAAACACTCTGGGCCTGGAAGACCTGACTTCAAAGCGCATCCATGGCTACAGCTTGGGTGGAGGTCTCTATGGGGACTTGCCTCCCACCAGTCACGAAAACCAGCCGACAGGAGCCCCAGGTGGTGCTGCTATGCAGGGAGGGCTGCCCCTGCCGTTCCCTAACCCAGCACCCGAGGTAGACCTGGCCCCAGAAGCCCCCCAGCCCCCTGTCACTCTCAACCCCACACCCGTAACAGCCCCCTACTTACCAGAGACCCACAACGAGCCTCGCAAAAAGAAGTACGCCAAAGAAGCATGGCCAGGCAAGAAACCCACCCTCTCACTACTCATCTAAGCCGCGTAGTGGCGCTGCTGACTTGGCACGGCAGCAGACACATCAGGGACTGTGGCCTGGCAGAGGGGGAGACGTTCAGATTTAAGGCTTTTTTCAAAATGTTTTCATTTGTTATGTTAGTTTCTGTGATTACAAAAAAGCACCACACATTTTGTCCGTCACAAGAAGTGTTCCATATCATTATGTGAGTCAGCCGTTCATGTGTCGTCCCCTAGCGGCTGAATCTCACTGAGACACGCCAGGCCACGCGAAAGGCCACTCAGCTGTGATGGGTCACTAAGCTGTGAAGGGTCACTGAGCTGTGATGGCTTTGGTTTATGTAAAATTGTTTTCTTTTTCTACATGTGTCAAGTTTTTTTTTTTTTTTTTTTACTCTTTCCAAATGTCAGTTATGCTATTAAAACAAATGGCATACATACTTTTATATAAGATAACCTACTGTGAGAAGTCAGGCTTCACATTTTAAATGAATTCTGTCCAAACACGTGGCTGCTTTTTCTTTGAAATAACATCAACATTATGTAATCAACTCCTTTTAGTGAGTTATTTCTCTCAATTCTATGTATTAGGCAAATACCACATCCGCTGCAAAGTATTGCATCCTTCTAGTTGTCCACTAGATGGTGGCCCGAGCAAAAAGATCAGATTTCAGTGAGGTTTGCTTTCAAGCTAGCAGGAACTTGCGGTTATGTATTGTGCACTAATGCTAAGCAGAATCTACGTGTGTAGAACCACAGATAGAATGGTGCCAGCTTGTATTTATTCATTTGGATTCTTGGAGCCCATTGACCCACCCGTGTTTCACGGGACCATTTCCAAGTAGCAAGAAGATAGCAGAATGGACTCTGGAACTATTTCAAATGTCAACTGCGAAATAAAAGGTTAATTAAAACGGAACTGTTTGGATTGACACTCCTGTAATAGTGTGTACAAGTGTGTTAACGTCATTCATGTGCAACCAAAAACACTGCAGGTTGTATCACATTCAATTATTTTCCTTAAAGAAGGAAAAGATGTAATTGTCTGGTTATAGTTGGTTTCAGTATTGCTATGAAAAGAACCTTTAATGGCTTTCTAAAACTGGTAAGTGGTTATGGGCTTAAGGCATGAATCAAACCAGATATTTCTGTTGTTTCTTGTGATAGAGATATGATAAACATCAGTCGACCGGATGTTTAGACTTCAGTTTAACTGGTGGTTGAGTAGTTTTGAGTTGACACAAATGGCAGAACAAATGCAGCTTGACTTCAGTTTATATCTGCTAGTGTAGCTGGTAATCGCTAAAGCATACGGTCCTGTCCTTACAAAACTAACTTTCCCTAGAAGGTAATTTGGCCTTTTTTATAGGATTTTTGAAAATGAGTTAAGAAGTTTGTAATCTTAAGATGAAGAAAAACAAGGTGGTTCATTCATTTTTACAAACAGCTGTTGACTTTTGTGCTTTGGAGTGTGTGGATTTTGTAACATTACTGTAAATAAAATAAAAAATAACTTTTGACCTATAAGCCTTTCTTTTCCTCTGTGTGAATTAAGCCTTGGTGACACTTATCCTGGTAATCCATAAGAAGCTTGCTGTGATATGTCTCTCACTGTGAGATCATTGTTTTAATATTTGACGTTGTTGCCACCTTGATTAAAAAACATTCATCAATTAGTTGCAACACCTTCATGGTTTTGTAAAACCAGGTTTTTGATTCAGTCCCACCTGTGATTTAAACCAAAGCCCCAGCCAGATTTGACAGCCTGTTGCATTGAAAGCAGACCTAATAATGGGCTCTCGGGAGTGTATCTTATAATATGGTAACAACATAGTTTTTCTCTGTCAACCAAATTGCATCATACTTAACCTTTTGGATATCTGGGTATCTATGACTTGTTTTTATTCTATTGAGGTAAACATTGACCAGATATATACCACACATCCTTTGGACTTGGTTTAAAGGAGATTATGCAATAAAAACAACTAACTTACATGGGAGGTTAAACATAAATGCTTACATACTCGTTAACTTGGCTTTATTTTTCAATATGTATTAAAGGAAAAGGAAAACTGTCACTGTGCTATGCAGTGACTGCTAAAGTCATCACATCTTTCAGCTGCAAACCACAAGTGAAATGATAACCTCTAACCACTCAGAGAAATACAGTTTCTTTCTTTGTTAGTTTTTTCGCTTTGGTTTCAAGTCATAAACTAGTTCTGCCTCCAGTTAGCATCGATCATTGATTATTTTTCTCCAATCTTACCCTGGCCTGGATAAACATACCTGAGAGCTCGATGTGCAAAGAGACAAGTGTGCTTTGAATGACTAACCACACTTTTAGGAGGTGACTTTAGACCACAGATGCAAATTTATTTAACTGTGCATAAATATCCAGAGAGTGTCCTTCTTTTTATGATGCCTCTTCTTATTTTGTATGCAGATTGCAGCATTATTTTCCAGGGAAATTAAAATTGCATTAATGAAACCAAAGGATCAAAACAATACTTTTCTTTCATCTGCTGTGATTTTTGAACATTTCTATTCAACAAAATAATATATGGGTGAAGAAATCCTCATTTTGATTTATTTCACAAACTGAAGCAAATGTCAACATATCAAAAACAGTGCAACTAATTTTTTAACAAAGTGCAAAATTGACCACTTAGAAAAGCGTCACTGCAAAAAGACTATAACTTTCTTCTTAAAACATATATCATATTATTTGTAGTGATTAGATTTTATGTCAAAAACTTCATGAAATGTTACCTGAAATCATCTTAAATTATTCCCTAATTCAGTACGGTGGTTATAGCAGCTCTTAGTATTCCTCTAAAAACTACAGCTCTGCCGGTTTGATCTTGATGTGGATGCCATTAAGAGACCGCAGAACCAGTCTAGGAATCATCTTGGGTTTGAAAGAGGAGTCTTCCATCAGCAGGTATCGCTGCAGCGTCAGGGCTGTCACCACCTTCATCTCGTTCATTGCAAAATTCTGACCGATACAGTTTCTGAAGGAAGACAACATAAAAAATAGGAAATGTAAATGGTTTGAAATGATCCAAGCAGAAAAAGATGAGAGGAAACATCCACCATCAGGATAATGTGTTACAACAATTTGGGCCTTTCTGTACTTTAGTCTACCCCATTGGAAAGCCTTTGGTTCTCACAGGGTTTGGTGCTTGGTTACACTTTAACAAAACCAAACCTGTTGCACTGCACACGAGCAGGCAGTGTGTAAACTGAGAACAGCATTCATTCAGTGGCATGGTATCAGGTGTGTTCAAACCTTGGCCCAGCTGAGAAAGGCACAAAGGCGTGAGGCGACCTTTTAGACACATTTTCTGGCAGGAAACGCAGTGGGTCGAAGACCTAATGCAACACAAAATGAAAGAAAATACATTTTCTATGTAAATAATACATTTTAAAAAAAAGACTACAAATGATTCGGTCTGTCTTCTTTTTTTATACCGTCCACAGCGTTAAATGCTGTGCTCCAAACAATTTTTTACTTACCTCAGGGTTCTCCCAGACAACAGGATTTCGGTGAATCCCAAACACACTCGTTCCAATTTGAAAACCTAAAAATGAAGATAAACAAAGGACTCTTCAATCTCGAAAGCCAATAAACACATTGGGCCAGATGCATAAAAATGTGTAAATCCACTCCTCTGTGTACACACATTAGCACGGTTTGCTTTTACATTCCTTTCACCAAGGCCATTGGCATATTCATGTATGTTTGTCTTTTCCTCTGTTTTAAGAAAAGAAATCTCAAAACTATGCAAAAATCTGATACTAATGCATGACAATGAATCTGCATTGATCATCTGCAGGCAGCAGTAGCGAGGAAGCAAAGTTCTACCAAATAGAAAACGAAGAAACTCCTCATTTCAGCACCATAATAAAAAAAAAAATAGCCTGGGCAATTTGGCTAATGCAGTTCTGTAAGAAACAAGCAATTAGTTTGGTTGAAAAAAGAAAGGTTGGAGTGTTAGACAACATCCGAAATTCTCCTCAGCTCATACATCAGGGCCGTGGTTGAGAACCAGTAACTGAAGTGATAATGAGGAAAAAGGAGGTGTCCATGTGTTTTATCATACATTTGCTGTTCTCTTAACCAGCCTTTGTGGCCTGTTTGAATTCCCATTAGAGCGTCCTTCCATAGACATAACACATGATTCACAGCTGCAATTATTCAAGAAACTGAATAAGGCTATGAAAAAACAATCAGAAAAAACATCCCACTGAGCACGCTCTATGAAACTGTCTGCTTTGTTTTATGGTAAACAGTGTGGTTCAGGGTATACTGGTCCACAAAAAGGTGCATACAAACAGACTTAGCGACAATGTGCAGTGCATGCATCATCACTGCATCATTCCCTTTCTACATACCCCTTTGTTTGGAGGAAAAAGAAAGAAAAAACGTTTCAAAGGTTTTGAGAGTGTGCATCATTTATGCATTTGGCCCACTGGGAGCGACACAAAGTGGGAGAAACATTAGAGAAATACCCCTGTTATCAACAAGCAACAGGCTGCAAATCCATACATTATGTTAAGATCAGGATTCGTTTTGTATGAACTGAATAAACCAGTTTGGTAAAATTGTTTTTTGTTTTTATTTGAAGGCCCATAAGACAATATCTATTTGATAATCTTTGCACAGGCCAGTTACATTTTTGACCTGGATTATAGATAATATATTCTGAATAGTACAATATATTATAGTATCAGCATGATGTCATTCTTTTTTTCTTGTTCTAAAAATTGCAGTTTAAAAGGTTAATGTGTGCTGTTCTTTCAACGTTTGACTTCATGACCCAAAACCAAGTCCATAGGTCAGATGGTTAATATTTTATTTTCTCTATGAGGTAAATCCAATGCCGCTGTCGACTAGGGCGTTCTCATATAACGACACACTTTTCACTGACCTGCTGGCAAAGTCCTTCCATCAAAAAAGGTCATGGGCTTCGAAATCTTCCTGGACATTCCTGGCACAGGCGGGTAAAGACGGAGCGATTCCTTTATGCACATTGTGGTGTAAGGGATTTTACTGAGATCCTCCCTTAATATAAAACACACATGCAGATTTATTGGTCAATAACATTAAAATGTCCACAGAGCAGCTCCAGCACTGAATGGTTCTGACTTTACCATTCCATGTTGTCCTTGCCATTAAGGGCCTCAATTATCTCCTCCCTGCAGATCTTCTGGTGCTCTGGGTGGCAGGCCAGACAGTAGAGGATGAAAGATATGCCGCTGGCTGTGGTGTCATGCCCTTCAAACATGAAAGTGTCCACCTCTGCTCGGATATCTTCATCTGATAGACCCTGCTGTTTCTCATCCTGTTGATGTAATGAAAGACTAATGAACTCACTGAAACTACAATAAAAGAAGCAATAAATACACCATGAGGAGCACTGGCTGGTGTTAGAGAGTTCATAAAATGTTTAAGTACACTAATGCACGGGCCAAAATAATGTATTCTTATCCCTATAACCTTTATTGATGTATTCAGTCAATATTAATAGTGCATTTGTGGTTCTTGTGGGAGAAAATAATGAACTGCTCAATAACAATATGAACCTCCTTTACCCTCAAACATCTATGTGTGGTGGTTTAAAAAGTAAGCAAGTAAATCACAGAGGGGAACTCTAGAAAGTCTTTGTTTTTAGGTCATCTTCAGTTCAAACTGAAGGAGTCTGCAACTTCTCCGGCTAACATTAATACCAGCATAAAGTCATTTGTTTCAGGTGTAATTCTGTGTGGGGCCGTCGTGCAGCTGCCTCACCTCACTGCTTAAAGACATCAAGCAAATCGTAATCCTGCAAGATGCTTTGTCGAAGCAGCTTAGGCGTGTTTATGGAGAATACCAAGTTTGGATGGAAAACATTTTCAAATCTTGTTTCAGGGAGTTTCTGCACCAAAAAGACAAAGAAGGCTGACAGCTGCCTTTGTGCGACCTGCCATTGGTATGCAGAACCCGGTCACACGTTAATGCCAGCCAACTCTCCCTGGTGTAGAGTTGGCTGGCATTAATGACATATACCCTCGTGATTTCAAAGGTTTGAATATTTTGCTACTGCCATCCTAAATGTTTTGTATATGCTACATTTGTTTGTCCTTTTTTGGTTTGACTGGTGCTACTTTAAGGGTGTTACGTCCATCAGCTCGCTTGCATGGAATAATGATTGATTCTGTAAAAGCAGGTGTTGGGACTGATAAAAAATAACACATACTCTTGCAAAGAGAAGGATATCCAGAAAATCCAAGTATCTCTTTGATTGTAGGCGCCCATGCTCCGTTTCTCCTTTCAATGCTTCTTTTCTCTTTCTTATAACCTCCTCTTCAGAAATAGAAGATAATGAATTAGTTTTTACATTTTCACACTATATTGACAAATTGAAATGACATTTCTTATTGTCGTTTGGCGGCGATTCAGTCTGCTGTTTAATCAGATTTGAGCTTACTGGTATGACTGTGGGCCACCTTGCAGGCTTTCCTATGTCGGAAACCATGTGGGCTGAGGTAGAAAATGAGATCACTGTGATATGGAAACGTCCTCATTCGAATGTTTATAAGGTCACTGAGCTCATACACTGCCTGGATGTACCTATTTGTACCTCTGAAATTTGAAAGCAGGCAAACATTACAAACAGTCATGATTTTGTCATCTGAGCTCATTTTGATTTACTAGTTGAGCACTAAATAAAGCAGATAATAACATTTCTAGACTCACCCCTCTGTCTGACAGTTGCTGTCGCAGCTGAAGGCACACTTCATGATGCTGTCCAGAGTCATGAGGCTCACATGTTCAAACAGCTCAAACACCTCATTGGTGGTTGCATAACTTTCCCATTTGTCCTGGAAACAAAGAGAAATGTGACAGCTGTGCAGGTGATGGAAAACCTCCTACACACACATACGCAAGCTTGACCAATTCTGGCACAAAATGTGTGATTTGATATCATTTACATTTTGATTACACTACCATGAAGTACCCACCTAAACCATCCTTTACGTACCAGCATGGTTTTAGCAGACTGTGACATCAGTTGCACATATGGTTTTAAAACATCATAATGGAAACCTGGAGTCAGGAGCCTTCTGTGGCGAAACCATTTTTGACCGCTTGATACCAGTAACCCATTACCTGGAGAAAAGGGAGATACAATGAGTGTGAGTGAGTAGAATCTGCTCAAAAGTGATCCTTGCAATGAGATAAAACACACTGTAGGAGGAGGACAGAGCATTCTTACCAATCCAAGACTTTATAAAGCTATATGCAAAATCATCTTTTGGTTCTGTTGGATAAAGGGCAGATAAAAGTTCATTTTGAGTGTTATCGTGCAGCCCATAAGCGTTAACAAAAAAATAACACAATATAAAATGCCCTGTTTAAAAATAAACACACTGATGCATGAAAGTAGATGAACAATCAAATACCTGTTGATGCAAGAAGAGTTTTTACATAATCGGGATGGTGAATGTTGAGAATACAGACAGAGGGGCCGAACCACATTGGGAATGCATATGGATACTGCTCTCCCCACTTCACCACCTTCTCCAAGTCTGTCCCATCTTGTTTAAACTAAAAGAAGTACGCCATCACAATAGACATACATACATACATGTGCCAAAATTACAATAAGAACAACAAGTTTACCCTCAATGCAAACAAGTTTAGAAAAGTAAGCTGTACTTTTTAAGAAAATCACATAATCTGCAGATACAATACAGTACAAACAAGCAGGAGCAGGAGATTTTACTATCTCAGTAGGTTCATTTTTAAGATCTTTTGATTGAATAATGATAAGTATAGACTTTCATTCACTAATAACTAATAAAAACTTTATACATAATGTGAATATTGTAAAGAGATAGTTGTGCATCCCCGCTGGGATCTCTTGCATAACCGTGTGGTTGCGCTGACTTTGTGCGGGTCCTCCGCAGCGCTGCAGAGTTGCGGCTGCTGCGTGCCCGCAAACAGGTTACCTGGAGAACGTGTCCAAACAGCCAGTGTGCCGGGGGTCCAGGGAAAGCCTCGAAGTGTTGAAGCACCGTCCTCCTCCTCACGACCACAGCCGCTATTTTGTAGACGGTGACGACGAGACAGAGTGTTGCAAACAAGTAGCGCCAATGAGGCCAACCTGGCTGGAAGTCCGAGAAAACAGCCGTCATCTTCATGCCGAAAAAGCCCGTGCCCTCCAGGGGGGGAAAAAACAAACGAGCTCACGCGCCAACACAAACGTGACTGTGTTTGTCAGGGGTAGGCGGAGAGTCTCCCAGTCAAAAGAGGACGCTGCGTGCTGACGGAATAAGGGGGGTTTACAACAGGGGAGTTTCTGTATCACAGTATTCTTTACGGTTGTCATTATTGTTCAGGGGGTAAGCATTTGGAGTAATTAATGTATGTTCAAGTAGACTACCAATGACTCAAGAATGCAAATGTTTGGAAATAAAACTCTCTTGCAGACTAACGCACTCTAATGTCAGCTGCAAATGCATGCAGGAGTAGTGTGTGTTGTTTTCTCAGAGAACTACCTCTAATTACTTCCTCTATTTCCTGCGTAAAATGCTCCATCTCCGCAGTTACCATGCAAATTGATATCCGAACAAGTGCAGCAGGGATTAAAAAAAGTATTTCAGGTGGTCTGGCATCAGTCTTACCCACTGGAGAGATTAAAGTCTCAATGGCATTGGGTTTTCTTATTTAGCATGTCATTTATATGCACAAAAGTAGCAAAAAGCATATGCAGTAAAGGGAGAGTCCCCGAGACACAGAGACTTAATCATCAAGATAGAAGACATACTAGGATTGATGAGCTTGTGTGACTGATATGTCATTCATGTTGTTTACGTAAACATTTCCACTTCCTCTCCTGTTCAGCTAAATTTTAAAATGTCTAAGTTCCTTTTAATTATAGATTTAACAATAGGCCTATGCTGTACAATTATTTTACAAACAGTTTGGTTCTCTGAAGCAACTGTAATATTCACATAATGTGAAATGCATCACCTTGAAAAGTGTCATGAAAAAAATTGGTGTTAGACAAATTTGACGCCTTTGTAAGAGGAAACAAACTGGTAACTGATACACGTTATAAATTTCAACACCTTTGCTGAAGAAAAAAGCAACATATCTGCCATACCAGCAGAAAAAATGCGTGGGTGAAAGCAACGTTAAATTTCCTACACGGTAGCTGTTGGACCACTTCCTATGTGTCAGCTTAAACGGAGTACTGGTAGGCAGCCTAATGTCATACAGGGTCTCTGAGCGGTGTTTTCTGAGATCTGATGATGTGACCACAAACGTGGCGTGTTTCATTTAGTTCAGGATTGCCTTTATTTCTCCTGTGACATGATTTCCCCAGGAACTCAAAAGGGATTTATTTGGACTTTTCTTCTCTGTCTTATTTGGGGCATGTCCATTTTCTCAGGAAACGGTAGGTAATTGACTAAAGTGATGAAACAATGGTATAGTTTTAATGCACCTTCTTAAATTTGTATGCTGTCAATACTTGCCATCTTGCCATTTTTTTATATGTGATTAACAAAATATTGATATTTTAGCGGTCACACATCGCCTTCGTTTCTGGCTTGGATGCCGAGCTGTGATACCTTGTCATTGTTACACCACTGAATCGGACTGTTTTACATGGTTTCACAAGAAGGATGAACACAGTACCCAAATCAAGCTATTCTTTCAAGATACGAGAGGAGTACAGCACTATGGCTTCACTCATTCCAGAGCATATGCCACACAGAACCGCTCCTTGGTCATCAAAAACTTTGCTGAGGATGATCAGGGAATCTACTGGTGTGAAAGTTGTAACAAACATATCTGCAGGGATGAACAGTCAATAGTCAGCAGAGGTTTGAATATGTCACTTCCTTATCACGTTATCAAATTGTCGTATTGCCGTTTTTTATTCGACTGGTCAATTGATTTTACTTTTTTCTCCAGAAATTATTAATGAAATTCGCATACCAATTTGCATCTTTGAAGGCAGCAGTTTCACACATTCATGCCTACAAGCATCGCTTAATGCAAAATGGACTTTTGAAGCAGGTAATACCACTCTTCCTAGGAAACCAGTCAAGGTAAAGTCTGGTAAAAATATACATATTGCAAACGTCACAGTCGAAGACGCTGGAAAATATACCTGCTGGGCAAGTTACTGTGGTGAACCAAACCAGAAATGGCTCTCTATTAACTTATGTGTTATAACAGGTAAGAAAATGACGCTCATCTACATTTTCATAGCATTAAAGGGTGGTTGCAGTCTTTGACGTTAAAATGATCTGTGTGACAGTACACCCCAAAATGGATGACCCCATTTACTGTGCTGTGACTGACAATGTGGAAAACTATAATGAAAAACACACTTCAAGTCCGGTGATGGGCATGACTGTTTCAGCTGTAAGTGGACATCCGTCCCGGTACATAACTTGTAATGCAAGTCAAATGTTGGATGGACACACCACAGTTACAAGAAGCTACGTATCATCAACTGAACATTGTGAAACAACAGGTGGGTGTGTTCATGTATGTCCCTTTGAAAAATGTGTGACCTCATGCAAATAAACATTTATGTTTATTTCACAGATGTATCTACAAAATCTGCTATTTACAGAGTATTGATTTCCCTTGCATGTTGTATTTTGATGGCATTTCTTATTTTTTGCTTGATATCAAGACTGCGGTCAGGTAAGCATTGCAACTCTTCATTTTGTTGAAACGTCCTGTTTGCTGTATTGAAGTTTAGAGGCACCCTTCTAATTTTGTTTCTGTCTGTCTGAAGCATTTCCTTTTAACCTCTCATGCTGTGACGTCAAGGACAAAGTAAGTTGCAGGTGCTGATACACAATGCCTGTGATGGTAAACTATACTCACCCAACCTATGGTGTGTGATGTTTGGTGCAGGACATGAAATGTCTCTTTTCACATTGCAGGGGGATGAGGAGACACAAGTGGTTTATGCATCAGTTGTCATCAGGATGCCTGATAAACGGAAACAGGAAAGAAAGAAGGAAAGGAACAGTCCTATGGATAACAGTTATTGTATTTATAGTGAAATAAAAGTCAATAACCAGTGAATGGAACTGATAGCTATCATTTTTCCACCTTGACATAAAAGCATAAATTGTCTCCTTTTAAGAAGAAAATTGTGTGTGATTACACCCACAAGGTACTTACAGGCACAAAAAAAAGTGTTTTTGTCCAGCTTACAAACTTATTAATACTTGATTATTTACCAATGTCTCCTCAGGCAAATATAGTCATGCAATGTCATTAAAACGCTTTTAATTACTTTAGTCAAATCAGAATTTTGTATGTAACTGCTATCTAGTGTTATTAAAAATTCAATTTCATTCTTTAGTTTAATAGTAATTTATTTGAACCTTTAAACATTTTGGATTGATGTTATATTGTTCGACCATTCTTTAAATCATTGTCATATTGCGTATATAATTTTAAAGAATGATGGTCATGTTGAAGACTAAACTACATTACCTAAACTCCATTACCCATTATTTTGTTTAATCATATGTGCATTTCAGTGAGCTGTAAACTGTAACCCTTAAATACCAGTCCCTTACTTACTTTGGCCAAACAGCTAATGATTAATATGGTGACAAATGCAAGACTAATGTTTGATTGATGCCAAAATAACTTGTTTGGAGTATTAAAAAATATTGTTTTCTGTTTACTCTTTACATCAAAACGTGTGAAAATACAAGTGCAGCCTTTTTTAAATGAAGTTCCAAGGACTAGTAATTAAGACTAGTAATTTTTTTTAATGGCAAACACAAATCATTCATTTTTCAGAGAAACAGATGAGTGGTTAGAAACAGGAATTTCACAATTATTTTTGAATGAAGCAACAAAATATGTTTGATTTTCAGATTTTCATATGAGAACTGAGTGTTCTTGCAAAAACTTCAAATAGAACTATCGTTATTGCCACTGTAAACTTCTCTTCTTTGGTTATATTTCTTCTAAACCTGAATTGGGTTTTGGTTAACAGTAATGTCAGCTAAGTTTGCTCAATCTGAGCAATTCCTGTGCTGACAGAGAGGTGGGAATTTCTGCTTTCTGTCAAGACGTGAAGTATGATGTTTATTACTATAACGCAGACGGTACCGCCAACTCGTTCCCATTTTAGCCTTGGTAGGTTAAGGGCCCTTAAAAACCGATAATCTTACAATAACCGCTCCGGACGGTAGGAGGCTGTAATGAGCCCCAACCTTGTATGCCAACACACAGTAAGGAAGATGCCATTCAATATGCAATATTGGCAACTGGTTTTCTTTGTGTAATTAGTTGATAACCTGATAGTTTGGTTTTTACCGACTAAACGATTTTTTTTCAGATTTGAAATTTAAGTTTAAAATTGTTGAAAGGTATAGTCAACTGCATGACCGAAATCAAACTTGACGTGAGCTAACTGGAAAGCTATCCGCTGTGTGTGCATTGAGGTAACAGTGGACGTGTACCAGAGCCACAACAGACATTTACGTCAACATTTGTCTTGTTTAACACGGTAGGAGGAGAACTACATAATGCCTTTTGTTGTTTCTATTCTAAATATGTCTGTAGCAAGTAATATTCATATCGTGTTGGAATACACAAACGACTTGAAATAACTCGTTAGCTTAGCTAGCTACATTTAGCTAGCCTTAGCAAGTGAAGCTACCACTACTGCGGGCATTGTAATTTAAACTGATTTTCTAAATGCTCTTAGCTGCAGACACTGGCTTTGTATAAAGGTAACCTTTCCACATTAAAGTGTCAATAAGCCAGCATACTTAGTGCCAGAGGCCTAAACTTTGATTACCGAAACACTGAAAAACTATAAAGAACGTTTGGCTCTCACGAGTCACGAATATTATTGATGGGATTTTTCTTCTTTCAGGCTCGTAGAAATAGAAAAGCTCCCAGAAAAAAATGGAGGCCCCTCCTGTCACCGTGATGCCTGTCACTGGTGGTACAATCAATATGATGGAATATCTGTTGCAAGGTAAAATTAAATTAATCCATACACACTTAATTGTATTGTCTTTGAACAGTTCTCTAAAAACAAATCAGGTGTGAGTTATTACTGATTAACCTCTAATCACTGCAGATGAACTGTTGGTTTCATGGATTTGGTACTTCATAAGTAGAATTATTCTGTGAATATGCAACTCAATGAGAAGAATGTCGCTATTTTCTTTTAACTATGATGTCGAAAAGCACACGTCTATTTTCTCATTGTTTTCAAGAGCACAATTGCAATATTTCCTATATAAACTTGCGTTATATTTTCAGTCAGTCTACTTCTTGCAGTAGTATGGGAAAAAAAAGAAGTGGATATTGTGTTTTTGTTTTTACTTGCAAAATAAGTTGGATACTTTTTTTTAAGGTAGAAATGCTATACTCCTTCAGTGATGTCTGTTTTATATTATGAAAAATAGTTTTTGGTGTTTGTGATGAGATCTTTGATTTTTCTCCTAAATGTTTCTTAATGAGTCTCAGCTGTTTCAACAGAGTTCATCAGCTTATTTTACATGTTATTTTTTCTTCTAAAATAAAAAAATGCATAAAGTTGTTGTCTTATTTTTGAGATCCAGTTTCATCTTTTATTATTTTTTTATACAGGCAGTGTGTTGGACCAAGGGCTGGAGAGCCTCCTGCATCGCCTTCGTGGACTATGCGACAACCTGGAGCCTGAAACCTTCAAAGACCATGAGCTGGTTTACTTTTTGAAAGGGCAGCAAGGAAGCCCTTTTATTTTGCGTGCCCGGCGCTCCCTCTCACACCCTAATGCTCCCTGGCACGTACGCTATCTAGGTCAACCAGAATTGGGAGACAAGAGCCGCCATGCCCTGGTACGCAACTGCGTGGATGTGTCCGCCTCCCACAGCCTTCCAGAGTTCCTCAACGAGATGGGCTTCCGAATGGACCATGAATTTGTCACCAGTGGCCGCATATTTCGGAAAGGTGCTATGAAAATAGTGGTCGGCTCGGTGTCACGCATGCTGGTTCCGGGTAATACTGAAAATGTGGAGCAGATTTCACTTTCATCCCTTATTGAACTGAGCATTTTGGCCCCCGCTGGCCAGGACACTGTTTCAGAGGACATGCGCAGCTTTGCTGAGCAGCTCAGGCCTCTGATCCACTTGGACAAGGTTGACCCAGCCAAGCAGAGACATTAAGACTTGATTTAGTTTTCACTTTCCGACTACAATATACAAACTCGGTCTGTGTTTTGTTTTCTTGTTACTAAGTGTTTATACATTAAATGAAATCACATAAACAGTGCATTTTCGATTCCCCTTTTATGCTTTTGGTCACACTGTCACTTTTAAATGGCATAATCTATTATATTTCCCCACTCTTAATCTAAAGCTGTAACCTTATCTTTGCCTGAAACAGATGTTGTAAAATAATTCCTTAGAGCTCAATACAGCTACAATAAACCAGCTGGAGAAGATCAATACCTAAACTATGAATTGGGAAAACAGTGTAAAAACATGTAAGAAAGCTTTTATTAGCCTTTTTCTTCCTTTCCATTGGCACCTTCCCTTCACCCCACTAGGTGTCTCTCTTGTCTTCATCTTGGTTGGAGTACACCAAATGCTTACCTCCCATCATCTATGGCTCTGGTTGCCATGGAAATAATTAGCTCTGAGATCTGCACATCCTTTACCCCACTCTAATTAGCTTTCTCAATTGCTTAATGATACATAGACCTGTGAAAGCCTTTCTTTCTTCCCCCTCAACAAAAGCATTGATTTTCCCTCTCTTCCCCTCTTATTTCTACTGTTAACCCATAAGTGTCCCTTTTCATGAGAACTTGGGTTGGAAATATTACACGTGAAAGCACTACAGCTGCTTCAAGTTGTGCCCTGCTTCGGCTGAAATCTAAAAAGCGTTGTGTACTGGCGTGTCAACATTATTGCCAATCTACTGCAGAGACGGAAGAAACTAATGCACATCCTGTCAGCTATGATAATAATGTTGGCAAAAAGACGTGAGTGCTTCTAATAATACCCTTGCAGGAAGATGCATTTGCTGAGTTGAGATGTAAAGTGACCATGTGCATGTCTGAGAGGAGAGCTCCGGGGCCGATGGCTGTCTCTGCATGTTGACCTACCTGCATATCAAGGCTGATGAGGACAAGCTCACTGAGGTGGAAAGGTGAGGGGACATCACTTCCACATGCATTTAGTCCTACTTGTAAGCCACACTTTTGAACGGTAAGTAATCTGTTGGCAAGGAATTCTCCGGGTTTTTTGGGGGAGTGGGGGGGCGATATCCTGTCTGTGCTAAAACTGAAACTGCTGCGATTGCGAGCTGCATTGCCCACAAAGTTTCTGTCACTTAGTCTGGACTATCTGATGGAGACAGTTTTATGTTCCAACTATCACAAGCAGACTACCGGCCCTCAGGACGAAAGCATGATGTTTCTGCTCTGAGTGAATTATGTATTAAAGAGGCAGATGCCTCCTGCCTAAGGCTTTCTGTGTCCAGCATGGATACGCTACAGCCTACTGGCTTTCTTCCACTTAAACTTGTGTTTAGCGCTGTGCTCTTTGGTGGTGAGCCGGACTCCCACTACACCTTCACTTCACACTGCCTGGAGAGCAGAGGCATAGCAAGGCTAATCAGAGTGTTGGCATCAGGCCTACTTGGCTATTGTGGATGCTGCCAACCCTCTCGCACGAGTGAGGGATTTAACTCTTTGCTGGAAACAAAGTGTTGTGCTACAGTGATGCGCACTTCAAAGCAGAATATGGTTCTCAAAAGACTATGAATGTAAAGTTACCAGACTGATTAGCTTTAATTATAGGATTATCAGTAGGAAAAATTTAAGCGTCTGATTCAGTGCTTGCAGCCGGAATTAGATTCATTGTTTTAATTTTCCAATGTCAGAACACAGAATGTGCCCCTTTGTTTTCATCCTCTAAGCTTAAGTTTTATCTGCAACTTTTTTTCCTTCCCCACTTGCTCGAGCAGTTTTATATTTGTTGTTAATCGATCACCTTGTCGTCACGTATAATTTTCCTTTTAATGTTCCCACCACGGTTGTTTTGTTTTGCACCAGAAATAAACGGTGTGCAAAGACAGAGAATCATTGCATTTTTTAAATCTCAACACTAACTAATGTTTTAAAATAGAAAAGATAATTAACCCAAAAAGGATTCAAACATTTTTTGGGACCAGATTGCTGTTCCCCATACCTTTTACTTTTCAAAGGGATGATTTCAGCCCATTCCCATACCTTTTAAAAGTCTTTGGCACCAGCTCATTGTATTACAACGTAACAACCTGCCTCAGTTTTTGGAGTGAAAGCAGAGCAACACAGATTTTCCTCCCAGGGCCATTTGGTTGCTCTGCATTTTTAACTGTTAGATATAATTAATTGGCTACGGCTGATAGTGTTAATCACATTGTGTTAGACCTCTGAATGGGGATGGAAGTCATTACCTGCACATGCCTATATTTTCCATTTCACAACACAGTCTTAATTAAAACTCTTGGCACAAATCATTTTCACGTCCTCTGAACGTAATGTTCGTAGCTGCCAGTGCAGATGCCAAGATGCCGCAGAATGCTGGCTCTGGCTGGAGGCAGGAAGTCTTTAAGTCGGCCTGCTTTGGGTCAGCGCCACAAAGATGGTGAAATCCAGCCTCACCTTCACGGCGGTTTTTCAAACGTGAAGGTGTGAGTCCTGTCCTCGTTGTGTCATTGAGAAACAATGTCTGTTTGTGTGTGGGTTATTTGCTCAGAGGGGAGGAGAACCAGAGGAGGGGCATTTCCAGACAGATGTTGATATCCAGGCGGATGCTCCTTGTGGTTACTTGATAACTTTTGAAATATCAGGTTTCAGGCGATCACTGAACAGACACGGTCTGAGAGGGGTTAAGCAGACGTGGGCGGAAAAAAAAAAAAGATTATCCTCTTTTCTTCTCCAAATGAAATTCCAGAGCATTTTGTTAGGGTGCAAATTGACAGCCACAGAGCTCGGAGTTGTACATGTGATGCTCTGCCTCAATTGTGGCTCACTGAGGTGATTACTGCTATGCAGAACACACTGTTCCAAGGTCAGCCACTCAGAGCTTTAAGCCAGCATGCTGCCTCTGGAATGTCTGGTATGGGGACAAAGTAAGAGTTGGCCTGGAGGGTACCAAACACCAGTAGAAAAAAAAAGAAGCAGTTCTATTGGGCCCTTCCTCCTTTCTGCCCGGTTCCTCTTCTCCTCGTGCTAGCTTTGTCTGTCTTGAAAGTTTGTCCAGCTGTGAGTATCTGGATCTGGTTGTTTGCCTTCTTTGATAGTCTTTTGGTTTTTCTTTCACTTCCTGTGTAATCAGGGCACATTGTGTAATCTCAAGTGTCACCAAAATTATGGCTTTCATTAGTGTTACTTGTGAAGCATCTCCAGCAGAATCTCCTGTTAAAGGCTAGAAGCTGTAAAAGGCTCGTCTGTCTCCAGTGTCGGCCTGATGATTATTCTTGGCATGTGATCAGTGGAATATATGAATTCCCCGCGTAATAATATATTTAATGAGCAATATTGTTTAGTTTAAACACAAAACTATTAGCTACATGGCATTTTAATCCTGTGGTTCCCCGTCATGCTCAATATTAAATCACTCCATGACACACTGATGACGCATCCTCTCGCATTTAAAACCGGACTATTTTTGACAAATTTCTCAACCTCGTGCGTGTGCACATTGTGGCTGTGTTACGCAACTTTTAAGTGCAGCTTCCATACGTGCACACTTGAATGCATGAAAGGGGTGGCGGTCTCAGACGGTTTCATGAACTTGCAGAACGCGAAGCAGGTTTGATGGTGCCGGAATAAAAAAGCTAAAATGTTTTGTGGATGTCATGCCCCTGTGAATTTAGGTTTGCAGGACACATTGAGGCAGAGCATCCAAATGGACAGATTTTACCGGACAGACACAGGCCCTTGATATACTTACATAAAATATCGGACATTTTGAGTTCATGCATCGTGGCAGGTGTTATGTAGATAGTGCATTAGGATTTGAGGCTGAAGGACTCAAAAGATTATTTTTAAATGAATAAAAGTGACCGTGAGGCAGTTCAGACTATATAACTGGTATAGCTGCATTTGAGAGAGGCATCAACAGTTAACCGAATCTTTTCCGCTTAGTGGCCAGACTTGAGTCGAAAAAGGTGAGATAGAGGGCTGGAATCCCCCCCCTCCCTCCCTCTCTCCCTATCGCTGGTCAGTGCTGCAGCAGATTTACGCACACGGGTCTCACCTGTGCTAAATCTGCCCAAGAAGGGTGACAATGGCGTTTGGACAAATACGATTTGAGATAATACGCTAATCGTTCATTTTCCTCACTTCATGGAGTCTGGAGCACACATATTTTTTCACCCCGGCATGTGAAAAGCCCACACCAACCCACTCCTCCTGGATTAAAATCTAGGGTTACCTAATCTCTGTTAATCTGAACTAAATCTGTCTAATCGGCATAGAAAATTACACTCACTGAGGTATTGCCTGCAAATAATCAGCGGAGGTGAAACCGTCTGCACGCCGAGACTTTTCCCTGGAGGGCATTTGGACGCTGCACGCGGCGCACGGGACAATTTGCTACGCGCATATTTAGTCTCATTTAAGACAAAGGCGAGGGTCGACATTGTGCAGGAATTTCTGTTACCATCCTGTTGCTTGTGCAATTTTTTTTTTTTCGTTCTGTTTTTTGAATAACAGTTTTACATGGAGGTTTCCACACAAAACGCCATGTGACGCTTCTCGGCGAGGATCATTATTATGTTGGGTACCGGTTTTAAAATTTGGGTTTCGCCACCCCCGTATGCAACTGTGATGGGAAAGAGGGAGTGAAGGGAAAGAGAGAGAGATAGAGAGAGAGAGAGAGAGGGAGAGGGAAAGTGTGTGTCCGGGATTTCGCTGTAATCATGTTCGGAGAGTATTGAATTCGTGAGCGCACTCCAATTGGCAGCATCGCTACTATACAGCACCGGCGCGTCATCCTCGGCTCACATCGACGGAACGAGTTGTAAGCAAATGAGAACATGTGTGGCATCTGAGAGAGTGGGAAAAAGGCAAGGGGCTGATAGACGGGAGCAAGAGGAGGTGTGAGAAAAGCCAATTTTATCGTCCTGACAACTGGATACGAGATTTGATTGCTGGGCTCTTTCCCCCCCCTTCCTTTATATATTTCAGACAGGAAAATTATCGATTCGTCACATGCGCACGCCTCTTCATTATAATTGCAGACAGTTGGGTGCTGTTCAGGCTGAATGGACTTGAATGTGTCGCTGCCAGCTTAATCCATGCAGACTGGAAGATTTAATAATTCACGGTAATCACGCATTATCGCCTCAGTGGATGCTCTCTACACAGCTCTGATGATTTTTCTCTTCCCCTCCTCTTTCCCGATTCTTCCCGTTGTCTTCTGGAGGGATTTATCGACGGCTGCTTTGCTCCTTATCTGAAATATCATCTGTTGCTGCCACTGGATTGAAAAGCCCCCATGACTGACTTAGACATGCTTGAGATTTAATGTATTAAGGTATGATGGGATGTTAAATAAGACAGGTTTTTTTCATCTTTCGATAATCTACTCAAGTTAAAATGGACAAGAAATTGTTGTTACTTTTATTACTCCTCTTATCTCTTCATGCCAGGCAGTGATTTTTTTTGGTTGCTTCCATTCATGATGATTGTCCTACTCCGCTGAATTGGCTCCTAGTGATTCTGACTGGACTAAATAGGTATATTACAAGGCAAATTCCAACGTGAAGTGGCACCGAAGACAGCTTCCTCCCTTGTCCTTCCCTTTTTTTTTAATTATCATTCCGTTTTTCAACTGGAGGATAAATGTTGATGATGGAGGACGACGAATTAGACGCTCATCAGGTTGACTCGGATTTCGAGCCGCAGAGCCGGCCTCGCTCATGCACTTGGCCGCTGCCCTGCCCGGAGGATTTCCCCGGTCGACACGAGGTGAGCGGAGGTCTTCCGCTGGCCAACATCAAGGTGGAACCGGAGGACGTCCCGGCTTGCAGAGCCGGGCTCGTGGGCGGAACGCCGGCGGAGCTGAAGCATCCGGCCGGCGCCCCGGCACCCGCGGGCGCGACGCACCCATGCCTGGCCGGCGCGGCGCTCGACGTGACCGGATCCCTGCGCAAAGCCAAGTCCTCGCGGCGGAACGCGTGGGGGAACCAGTCCTACGCGGATCTCATTACCCGCGCCATTGAGAGCACCCCAGAAAAGAGGCTCACGCTGTCACAGATATACGACTGGATGGTCCGCTACGTGCCCTATTTCAAGGATAAAGGCGACAGCAACAGCTCAGCTGGCTGGAAGGTAAGAATGGGAAACCCACGACCCAGCGTGGAGAGGGTTGACGTTTTAATCACAGTGATGATATTGATTATTATTCACTAAGCCATAATGATTCATTCACCCCTTCTGTCTTACACATGTAACTGTGGGATTCCGTATCAGTTACGCATGAGTGGTGCCATGCCTTATCTTGTCTTAGTTCATTACTGCCGTCAGTCATTCTAATATATCACTGATGGCAGAATGTAAGACTGGCGTGAGGACCCTTTAGCGTGCCGAGCTTTTCTTATCCTATTTGAAAGACCCGTTTGTGGTAGCACATAAAATCTCTTCCCCTCAGCATCAGGGTGGTTGATTATTTATTTCAATTTCTCCCAATACATCTTACAGATAAGTAAAGATCAGTGTTTCATGCTTATTGGTACTCCATGCATTTTCTCTTATTTATTTGTTACCTTTAAACGTCTGAATCAACAGGGTGACCCCCAGGACACCACAGGTCAGCTGTCCTCAATGTAAATATACAGTGCCAAGTTCACCACTGACCGCAGTCCACTCTCTGCCTGGCTTAGAGCCTAACCTCCTGGACATCTGCCCGTTTTGCTCCCAGCCTCATCTTATTTCAATTCATTATAGACATCCGTGGACAGCGAGAGGGGGCAGTGAGATTAGTAGGGCAGCAGTGCTTGTCCTGATGGTGTAACTTTGCAAACTGTGCCTTGAGACTACATGTTAACTTTGCGTCCGACATGGTAGTCATTTTACTGCTAATGTGTGAGAGGTCAAATAAGGTTAGGGTTAAGACTTTTTGCGTTTTACAGCTCTACATGTCTATTTGAGCAAACCACTAGGCAGGATTCACAGAATGTGTTTCGTTGGCCAGCAGCACCTTTGTTCGTGCACATTGCTTCTTGCTGCATTTATCTTATTAAATATGAGAAGGCTGATAGAGCTGGAAGCATAACAATTTAGGTGTCATTCATCATAAACAATTAAAGCTGGTGTGTTGGCACATTTTCAACATGAACCCATTATCCGGGGGCATGCGTTCTTTGTAAAAACTTGTTTTGCTGTTGTGTAACGTGAGCTCCTCTCAAGATAAAAGTAGAGTCTCTTCTTTTGGCCTCAGTTTTAATCACATAGCACCTGACTGACACTTTAAACCTTCCCTATTAAAATGAGCTAACTGCCAAGGTGTGTCTTCAGGTAGACTTTGTTTCATTTGCTTCACTGTCACGCCAATGCTCCTCAACCGTGGGGCCTCTTTACCTAAAGTGCCAAAGTCCCAGTCAGCTATTTATGAAACTGCAAATCAGTGGGGTTTGACAGTGGCTGTCTGAGGTCCTGGGCTATTTTCAGGCCACAGGCGAGACATGGGGCCTATTCCAGGTAATGACGGGGGATTAGGTAAGTCGTTTAAAGCAAGCATCCTTGATGTCAGTTACAGGCCCTGACCTGGTTTTAGTCAGACAGGGGAGTATTGTAAACATACACTTTTGAGTCACATGTGCATCTTCAATATATGAAGCAACCAAATAGCCAGCACAAATACTAGAAACTGAAATTAGAAATAAAACAACTTTTTTTCAGTTGCAACCAATTTTTCCACTTAATTATTCGATTTACTTTAAGATCTAGCAATATGCTTACTGATAATGATATTTTGCTAAAACATTAAATCAATTAAGTATAAGCTACATAGCATAAAAATGAGCTGGTAAAAGTTTTACAAAGTTGATACGAGGCCACATGCGCATGAAGCCAGAGCACAACATCCTTCCACCTCCTCTCTTCCTAGTCATGCACAAAAGAAGTGCAAGACTATCCATATAATTTCACAGCCATATCAGGTAATTATATTTGACAGCAGCATTTGCAATTTGGTAAACACCACTTGTGTCATCCACCAAGTTTTGATCACAACAATATTACATTGAAGCAAAATCATTTGATGTAAAAATGTCTTTTCATTTCTTCCTGGCTGAACTGTTATCAAAATGCTGATGAAATGAAATGAAATTAAGAGGTATAGTTTTGGAGATTGACAGTTTGGCTTGAGGGTGGCGTTTGAGCTAAGAGTAAAAGATTAAAGGTGAAAAAAAAGGACAGACAGGTTCTGGAAAAATCTCCAAATGCAGATGGTGTTGCCCTTATTCCTGTTTTAAAGAATGCTATTTTGGCTTGATCGTGGGGAATATTCAGCCAGTGCACCTCAACAGTTCCACTAAGCTCCTATAAATACCTAATGGCTTCTGACTTCTAGGAAGGCTCCAGTATTCCGAGGTCACAGCTTCCTAATCGGCCCCTTACTGGAGGGAAAATACGTAGAATTGTGTTCTTGTGTACCCTGTTAGTCTTTCCACTGGGCTGCTGTAGATTAGTAGTAGCTTCACTGGCATTAATTTCCAAGTACTCTAGAGGAGCTGATCAAAGCCCAGACATTTTCAGAATTCTGAATAAAGTTAAAAACAGATTCTGAATGCTTCTGTATACAGAATACTATGTCTTCAAGGCCAATTATGTCCAAGTGCGCGCATCCATGAATGCATATAGACGCTTTCTGCATTAATGCGTGGGAGAATCACATGTCAATTGCAACAAAGCATGAGGTTCGGTAGTGCTGTGTGTGTCTTTGTGGGGGCTACTGCAGGGGGAGGGGCTGTCTGCTTCTATAGGCGTCTGTGTTTTGGCTCGCTGATTGGTCTGACAGCATGTCACTGCAGTGAATGGTATATGTAGTTTCGCTCTTGACTTCATAATGCCTCTAATGGTGGGCAACACTTGGTGAAGACTGCCCCATAGGCATCTAAAGTTCATTAACTTCAAGGGGCTTCAGATGATGCTATTGTTATATGGGGGGTTGCTTTATTGTATATACCAGCATGGGTAGTTATGGGATGCAAAAGTCCTTGTTACGCAAATGCTTTTGGTGTGTGTAGCACATTAAAGAAGAAATGTACGATAAAAATCTCGAGGACATGAGCACATTATATCATCTGTACGTTCAATTACAACTGTGAGAGGTATGTCTGTCTGCCTTCTTTACATGCACAGTTCCCCTTCTGTCTTCTGACAGTGCCAGGGCTTTTTCCAGCACTTAGGCCAGTCAGATGCCAGTGGATTGAGCAGCAGGTCGCAAAGAGTGCCAGGCAGTCACTCAGACACTTTAATCCAAAGAGACTAGACTGTTATTTATAAAGTGACTTTAGGTAGAGGTCTGTGCAGGGCCGGCAGGGCAAAGGGTCACGGCGCTTCCTCTACTGACATAAATCAGCCACTCTAGAAAGATGGCTGTGAAAAGAAAAAAAAAGAGACACAAAGCGACAGCAACGGAGTAGCAGACGAAAAGAGAAAGTGCCTCTGGGTAAATTTTGAGCAAAGCAGGAAAGCTGTCTCTGGTTATATGCGTTGTCTTAACATCTTTAAAAGCGTATAACCCCCCTATCTCCATAGGCAGTAGTATTTATAACATGTACAGATCAAATCACTTTATCTGACTGATTTATGTTTTAAGAGACAGACAACCCCTTGTAATCTTGTCACTAAGCAGGGACTCCAGCAGCTGAGGCAGACACTTGGTAAAAATGATGGACATGAACGTTAAATGTTTGGCCGGAGTGTGAGTTTTTGACAGAGGTATACCAGTATGTGGGGAGCCTTGAAGTTTCAGAGTATGTAGATAGCAGAATATTGTATGTGTGTTTGTGTATAAACGTGTGTGTTGCTTGATGATGTTAAAGGGTGTGTGGGGAGACTGGAAACTATTCTAGACTTTAACTGATTCATAGTTTATCCTCGGTCTTGGCTCGGGGGAGCAGAGTAATTTAGTGCAACACGCACACATATATATGCTTACACAATGTGAAAGCATATGATGCATGCTGGATAGATTTATGGCGCAGGATTATTAGCGCCTCACATCTCTCCCCTGGCTCCTTCACCTGGAGCTAGTTTGGGTTAAGGCAGTATATTTAGCTTCAATTGGGTATCTGATGCCAAGTAGCCCATTCTCACTGCCCCCCCCCCTGAAGCCTTCAGGCAGCTGTGGCAGTTCATTTCTCACACAAATGATTAATGTACATGCAAATTACCAAAGTACGGGCACACATTCAAATATGGGAGACAGCAATCAGTAGACAGTAATATGAAAAACAATATCAATTGGCTTTGATATGACTTTTTTTGTCTTTTATCACGACCAGATGCCGATGTTATCTCCCGTTTTATCTCTTTTCTGTCTTATTATATGTTGTCTGTCTACCATTAGAAACGCTATACATTCTTTCTGTCTTATTGGTTTTTTAAACGAGGGCCAATTCAGGTAAAGAGTCTTTCTCAAGAGAGCTGTGGTATCAGGAGACACCAACATGGTGTCATGTTGAGTTTTAACTTTGATCCAGACTCCCTCAAACGGTATGGCTCCTTATCTGAGAAATATCCTATGTTGTCATAGGAAAACAATATTGAACTCTACACAGCTGCATGCTTCCATGCATGCATGTATG